CCGCCCTGGGCAGCTCCATGCTGGACGATGCCCTGGACAGCAGCGCATACTGGGGTGAGCCATCGCTCCCTCCCCGGGCACCGGCGGGGTGTTGGGGCAGCCCCCTGCGCTGGGCGACCGGGTTGCCGCGGTGTTGGGTGGTTTCTGAGGGGATCCCGGTGTTTTGGGGGGCAGGCGGGGAGCTCTCCACCAGGAGGAGGAGAGGCACCGGCGACACTGAGTCCAGCAAGATCAACGGACTGCTGGAGAGCAAGACGTACGACACCTACGCCTCTTCGTCTGGGTACTCCTCGGAAGACGACTACGGCGGTAGGGATGCTGGGGGGGATGTCCCCAGGGGGACCGGCCCAGAGCCTGGTGGTCCCTAGGGTGCTGCCAGCCCCCCCGCAGCACGCCACCCTCCTTCACCCTCGACGCGACGCAGGGATGAAGGCTCTGTTTGGTGAATTGCTGCCTCGATTCTTCCTTTCCAGGTCGCTTTTACTCAGGCCAGAGCAGCTCCGGATCGGGGCTGAGGACCGCAGCCTCCCGGGTGGGCTCCTTCCTCTGGCAGGTGCTCACCTCCCCGGGTGAGTGGGGGGCTGCCAGGGGGGGTTTCTCCAGCACCTTTCTTCTCAGCCAGCATCTCCCCTCCCCACGTGCTGTGTGCGGTGGAGGGATTTTATTCCCCTGTGGGAGCATCCTGGGGGGCGGAGGGGGATGTCCCCCCGCCTGAGGCTCGGCTGCTCTCCCGGCAGTTCGGTTCGTGGCGTGGCTGCTCTCGGGGCTGGCGGCTGCCTGGCACCGCCTCACTGGCACGGATCCCCGCCTGGGCAGCGTCCCCTTCTCCAGGTGAGCGTGGTGGGGGGACGCCGGGGTGGGGAGAACCTGCAGAGCCCGGCACGCGTCGGGTGGGTGCCTTGTGCCGCAGCCCGGCTGGGCTTTGCTTTCCCTCTGGTTCCCATCCGGAGGAGTGCTGCGGTGGGGAAGGCGGCTGCTGTCCTACAGGCACCGCTTTCTTCTCCTTGCCCCAGGCGCTACCCGTGGCTGAAGAGGTCCCTGCTCCTGCTGCTGCTCCTCTTGCTCCTCGCTGCTGCTGCCTACGGTGAGTCAGCCCACCTCGATCTGTGGCCCTGAGACCTGGGGCAGTGCAGAGCATCCCGCTGCCACGCTTGGGCAATGGGTGGCCCCGAGCTCCGTGCTCATGGCTCCTGGTACCCTGCTGCATCCCCACCCTCCTGCTAACCCCAAGCATTAACCATCTTGTCCCCCTGCGTGCCCAGGAGCTTGGTACTTCTACCCGTACGGGCTGTCGACGCTCAGCCTGCCCACCTTCCCGTGGTGGGGAGCTGGGAAGCTTTCCTCCTCTGATGTGCCTGGGGCAGGGGACCTGACCGCTCTGGACCAGGTGAGGCTCAGCAAAGGTGGGGTGGGTGCCTTGCAGAGAGAGCCAGGACAGCGTGGTCCATGGCCAAAGGGGCCCTTCCAGGGGATGGAGATGCCCTGGAGGATGAGGCAGATGGTGCAAATGGCTCCCCTGCCTTGTGGCCGTCTGGCTCTCGGGCTGTCCCTGTGCCTGGGGCAGGGGACCTGACCGCTCTGGACCAGGTGAGGCTCAGCAAAGGTGGGGTGGGTGCCTTGCAGAGAGAGCCAGGACAGCGTGGTCCATGGCCAAAGGGGCCCTTCCAGGGGATGGAGATGCCCTGGAGGATGAGGCAGATGGTGCAAATGGCTCCCCTGCCTTGTGGCCGTCTGGCTCTCGGGCTGTCCCAGGGATGGAGCAGGGGGAACACCTTCCCTCTCCTGGGAAGCCGCAGATGAAGAAGATGCCAATGACCCTGGGGACTGGGTGGCTGGGGTCCCCTTTCACACAGGGGGCTGCGCTTCC